AGACACATAGACACACACACACACACACACACACACACACACACACACATACATGCAAACAAGGCCTGTGGAAGGCACCAGAACAAGACAGTTGTGTTACAGGTGTGACAACAGGAAAGAAAGAGATTTATTTCCCATGTGAGGGTTTTCCCTCTGGGAACAGCTGTGTGTGTGTGTGTGTGTATTGTGAGCCTTGACCCTGGGGAGTGGGGGGGGGGCGACACCAGTTTGAAAACAACTGGGCTGTAAGGTTCCCCTCTGATTTTCAGTAATCACAGCCAAACCTTGTGCAGGTTAAACATTTCTCATAATAGGATCGATCATTACATGTTTGGTTACAACCAATAAAGTCCGACTTAATGGACACTTTCCGAAGCCCCAACAACCTCAGTAGACAAAAGCAGACCTCTCATTTGTCAACTCAGTGTCAACCTTTGCTAGTAAAGCTAACTCCCATCAGTTGGTGGAAAACATTGTCTGGCTAACTTTCCAGTGTTTCCAGGTGACTCCTTTTGAAACAAGAACTGTTTAAAAGGTTCTTGAGAGCTACATAATGGTATAATGCTAAAAGAAAGAAGAGGTGTTAGCACATGATGACAACCCATGTAGAAGACATGGCAATAAAGATTCATCCTTATTCTGCAGTTTTTTATGTCGCAATGGTTGCCTGATTCAACCATGAAGCCTGTTTTCCGCTGCCAAACACTTGAAATGTGCAAAAGAAAACATAGTTGTGTTTTATTTTAATCCAAAGGGCTGCACTCTCTTTTGTTTTCATGACTTCGTTCATTGATCATCTGCTTATCGTTGCTGTTACTCAATGAGCATGGCAAGAAAGACCGGGTGAGAGAGCAGAGGGAAGGAAGCAGATTGCACCAGTCAGCCAATGAGAGGCTTATCTCAGCAGTTAACATCCGTTGAGTCAGGCTGTTAACTAACACACTGAAAGTACGTTATTTAACATCCGTTGGTAAATTAGTCACTAAAACAGCATCTATATGTTCTTCTTCTCAGACTATTAAACAGCAAAAAAAAAGCATACAATCATATTATGGATGGGGGTGTTACTGCAACAGTGCAACAGTGAGGGATGACTCACACACACACACACACAATGATTTTTTTTCCAAATTGGGGACATGGCTTTTGGTAGCCTAAGTCAGAAACACAGGCACACACTGACACTCATGAGTCATTGCTAATGTTGGGCCTGATTGAATGGAGCTCAGGTGAAATGTCCAAAGCAGTTTAATGATCTGCTCTCGCCTCATTCAGCTCTCCTCATTGTTCAGCAGCACAATCATATCTCATTATTTAGAATTGGATTACTTATTCTAGATAACCAGAGGCTGCTTGTTTTTTTTTATTGCTTAAGCATGTGGCATGAATGGGATAATGTGGGCAGAACATTGCTCTCATACTCTTGCTCTCCAAATGGACAATGGGTAATCATCGTCTCTTTGCAAATGTATATATCTATACATAGGAAAGCTATAATTGAGGTTGAACCAGTTTTATAGCAATTCATGTGCACACTTTGGTCAATAGCACATAAGTAATGATTTTGACAAGACCCAGCAAGTTATACTTTAGATATAAGAGGAAGATCTGATGGATTTAATTCACAGATATGTATTAATACTGCCTCATAACAACCAGAGGATGGTAGGTAAAATAATGTAAATAACTCAAATAATAAGTCATTTCATCGCAATAATACTGCTATAAAGGTGTTTTCTATCAAGGTTAAATGCCATTTACTAACATTTGTCAGCTGCTAAGCTCTGTGATATGTGGCTTTCCAAGGTAATGCGAAAAAATGACACCACCAAGACCAAAAGAGTACCAAACAATCTGTGCCAACGCTGCAAGTTTATTGGTAAATAAACATATAAAGGAAAACGATTGCATTAATAATTAATTAATTTATTATGTCTTTTTGTCTTCATCTTTTTGTTTTATTTCATAGTTCTAATTACAAAATAATTAGTGGAACCATCACAAAAATGATGGGAAACATAATCAACACTTTGTCCAGTTTATCCAACTTTATTTGGAGGTTAAACCAAAAATCAGCACACCTGTAATGTTGCTAATAATCCTGCTTTGCACAGGAAAACAGCAGAGGTGTAGTGATGTGTATATGCAGGTACATGGCAGATAGCACCCTCGTGTAATAAAAAATGGCCAGAGACACGAGTCAGTGCACATATTGCAGAGCAAGACTGCAGGCGGTCACTCTTTCATGTAATCTTTTGGTATTTACTGCGCAAGAGAGACTTTTTTTCACTAAGTCTTTCAGGGAGAAGCTCCTCCCAGGCAACCAATACACTCATAAAAGGCACCAAGCTGGAGAGAGGCACTGTTTGAAGGACAAACTGTAGTTCCATAACATGTGAGCTTCATAGCTACACACAGTCTTTTATTTATTATTTTTTCTATTTAATTTGATTCAGTTCATTCAATATTTAGCTTGATTTAACTTATGATTCGAATGTAAACTACCTTTTTTATTGTATCTAATCTAATGCAGTCTAGTTCTTTTTCACACTCATATGTATTGATGAATATTTTACTTCACATTCACTAACACAGGCCAGTCACCTGCTGTCAACCAATCAATGTAGACTAATTCATTCAAGACATGATGTCATCACTAGAAACGGGGTCAACCCTGCTCCTTCTCTTAGCTTCCCTTAGTAAAAAACGCTCTCTGCAACATTGAGCAGCCCGACCCAGCACTGCTGTGTTATAGTGTACAAGAAGCACATTATACATCACCTTCTTAAGGTTTGTTTTACGCTAATGAGGCACACACTCTGCCTCATTTTTCACTGTTACTACTACTAAAAAGACAAGACCGTTTGGCTGACTGGCTCTTAGCGGATTGACCACTGCACACGCACACACACACAC